CAAGGGAGACTGGGGCAGATTCAGGCCTACCAAGTCCGTGTGGCAGTTGAATACGAATATGGCGAGCGGACAGAAAACCCCGGTCACCTAGCTCACGCCGCTGGGGGCTGCCGAGCTACCATCGATACGGATTGACCTCGCCGGGACGCCGCCGACAGCGCGACAGACTCCAAAGCAGTGCTGCATACAGCATTATCATAATGATTTAGTATCGTCATATGGTATCAGTGCATGCTTTGTTTCGCAACTTCCACACCCAACCTGATACGGTGACCACTCATGACAAGAGCAGTTGCGAATTTGGCCGTCTACGCAAATCCAAATGATCTTTGAGGCTCTATAGTCTTGAAATACCCTAAAAGATGCATTTTGAGCAGAATACTACCGAACTAGACCTTTCTGGCAGCAATCGAAGTAAAAATATCAAATCCAAATGTCAAGGCGCCACTCCGACACGCTGACCCACAAGTCATGAAATTCACGCCGACCCGCAGGTTTAGGATTTCCTTGATGTTATGCACGTTGTGGCACATTGTTATTCATGTAATATGTTTGATGAGTTTCACTCCATTAAGGTCACTTATTTTCCCATGCTCATCCTTTGAAGTTATAATTGCTGCCTTGCAATTGTGCCACCTCGCTGAAATTCATTCCTATCGGACCGTATCCACACAGACGAAGAAACGAATCCGAGCTAATCTACTCGTCCTTACCAAAGGCCATAGCAATCTCATTTTTATCTTGCTCCCTTTGCCCAAATCAGGTTATTGTCAGACCTCTATTTGAGAAGAAGACACTCATTCTCGCATCGTATTATGAATTCTGATTGTTTCTCGCTTCGTGTAACCACGATGTTTCGAATGTTGATAAAAGTTTCATTACCCAAGTTTGAGGAGTCTTCTGTGCTGCGGTTAACCCGTGAGCTATCGTTCGTTTCGTGTTCGATTTTGTGGATCGCCTATTATCCAAGTCCNAGGGAGGAAATATACTAATGTGTAAGTTTATCCAAACACTGCTTCAGCTGGGCTTGAATAAGATTTTCCTATTTTACCCTTTTATGACAGAACCGAATCGACGTAGTAGACGCATAGGTACTTGAAGTGCACTAGGGCCTTCACACGCTGCCCTCGGCGTAGCTGCAACCGCTGCTTTGAAGAAGAGACACTTTTCTTCAAAGTTGCGAGTGGAGATCCTCACGGCCAATGTGGCTGAGCATGGCCGCTGTTCGTCGTTAATTCTATGATTCTGCTCTCAAACTCCACTGCAGGCCTTCCTGTAGAATGGCGTGCAATAAAAGCGCGTCAACTTCAAATGATCTTTCAGCCACCGATCTCGTGCTGGTACGAATTCTTTTATTGAGGATCACGATATGATAAAAGAAACACTCTGAGGAGGCAAGAATTCTAACCGTTACATTGCCACACCATGTTTGAAATATACAATGTATCTATTTGCACAGGGAGGAGGGCGTTTACCGTATCAGGTTCTGGTTCCAGTGTTGCGTAATGGTCTTCCACTGGGTGTAGAAATGAACACCGGCCTGAAAATATTTCAGCCATTTCGCTTTTTGCTCATTGGCCTGTGTAACCAATGTGACTTACTTTTCCGTAGTAGTTCAGGTCACCCCTGAATGATCCACGTGATCCCGTGAAAGAGAACATGGGCAAGGGGATAGGGACAGGTACGTTCACACCAATCTGACCATTGTCCACTTCGTTCACGAACCTAATCGTACAGTTGCCATTATTTTTGGGTTACTGTAGTCAAAGGTAAAAAATACATACTTCCTAGCAGTAGCGCCGTTCGATGTAAAGATGACTGCGCCGTTGCCATAACGGTTGTTGTTGATGATTTCGAGGGCCTCGTCTACGTTGTTGGCCTCCATAACAACCAGTACCGGTGCGAAAATCTCTTCCTAAAATCTTCTATCAGTTCATCCAAAGTGACTTCCACAGGGTGTTTGTCGAAGCCAGTTTTCAATTGGCATATTGCCTACGCCTTCCGACTTCTAACCTGGTAGCACTTCATGTGTGGCTTGACTCCTGCAATGACGGTCGCTCCGACAAAGTAGCCGTTTTCAAAGCCGGGAACGACGATGTTACTTCCATCAAGTGGGACAGTAGCGCCTTCCTGCATATCTTAGTTCTAGGCAACACTGTCCGAAACCTCAAAGCATTGCAAAACTAAACCTGCTTCGCGCTCTGAATGAGGCTAACTGCACGATCCTTTGCAGCCTTCGAAATCAGGGGACCGATATCAGTTTCCGGCTTCCATCCTGAAGATATAGGATCTACTGCAGCCAACATTCATTCGCAATTTTTTTTCTTATTTTTGAGTGGAGCTCAAGATCGCTGAGATGTAGGTCTATTTTTCTTACCACTACTTGAAACCCTTGAACTTCCCTTCAATGCTTTCGGCGTTTCGGCTAGAAGTAATCGAAGTCTTTTGCAGAACGAATTACTCATGTGTTACTGAATGACACTGGGCAATGGCATGTACCTGCATTAACGACAAGCTTCTTCGCCCTCTCAACAATCTCAGGTAGCCAGGAACGGGCCTCGCCGACGAGAATCGCAGTCGAAAGAGCCATGCATCGTTGTCCTGCCATTCCATAGCATCCAGAAATCACCTGGAAAATGAAAACCTCATCTCCAATCAGAATCTCGCAAAACGGCTATGCCTTCTGAGGCCTCTTTAGTTTCGTCGCTCCTTGCTCTGTCTTCAGTGAGC